CCAATGGCAGGGGGGATGGACCAGATGACCTTTAAAGGTCCCTTCCATCCCAAAGCACTCTATGGTTCTATATTAGAACAATGTCTACAGGAAATGAAAAATAATGATGTTGTTCGTTCCGGTTATTACAGAGGGGATTGAAGGCAGCTGAAGTGTGTGTACACATGCAAAGACGGATGTCATACAGAGTCCTAAATTAAAGCAGAGCTTTAGCCCCCTACCATGTGGGTGACTTGTTTTTTTCCTGATGCAAGGCCTTCTCGTGGTATTCCAGGACCATGTTTCCAACACAATAATTCTCTGGAAGAACAAAGTTTCTCCCACTGGTCTGGGTTTCTCGCTGCTCCTAAAGGGCAGCCAAAGTACTATCGAGGGTACCCAGTGAAGGTGCAGTTCTGCACTAGGGTGACAATTTTTACAAAAGTGTACTTTATGGCTTCAGTATGTCATATTTTTCATCTGCATGCCAGTGAGTCCCTGGTTTTATTCCCTGCAGCTTATCCAGTCATAAATAACCTCTAATGATTCACATACAGCTTGACAGATGAACTGAAACACAGTAAAAGGCAAGCAAAGGGACCTCTAATCGCTATTCATAACCAGGTCTGGCAACTATTACACTTAAATAGCCTGAAGCCATGATCAAGATAATTAGAGATGATGTTGTTCTTTTCCTGCACAATAGCTGCCAGGTTATACATTAGTCATGGCAAGGCAAGAGTCTCATTCCCAATCCATTGCTTAAATCCTGATGTCTAATAGATATTAGTGAATGAGATTAACTCCAGCCTCAGCCTTAGGATGATTAGCCGCAGTCTGAAACTTAACAGCCTAAGCCACAATACCTCTTGCTTCCACTTAGGTTTTTAAACCTATTTTAACTGCTTCTGCCTTTTTTGTTTGCTGCTGTGCCATGCCTGCTTGGCTCACCTTTCTGCAGTCTGGTGTGGCTAGAAGCCCCGACAACCAGGACTTCCACGGGTCTATTGCCACGAGTGGCTGCTCAAGAGCAAAGGGAAGGACTCAGTCAGGACAAAGGACCTCAGGACAGCTGTCAAGGGGCAAAAGCAGAAGCACACCTCCAGCAGGATGCCATCTGTCTCTGCCCACAGTGACCAAAGTTGTGCGGTGCAAGGCGCTGGCACAGGCTATGTTTGTGTCAGACCTAAGTGACGGACATGAGACGGAGACCTGCAGCTCCCCCTGAGGAGGACAGCAGAGGGAGAGCTCTTTGCGTTGACACAGCCCCACCAAGACCCCACACCAACACACGTGGCCACTGCGGCAGGCTGCCAAGGGAACAATAAGGGTGCTGGCCACGACCTTTGTTTTAATTGCTGCCCAGCGCATGCCAAGCTGTGCAATTAGGATTTGTTTCCATTCCCTCTGCAGTTGTCAAGGTTTGCACGTAAGAACTGTTCATTGTGGTTTCGTTTTAAGGACAACAAAGTCACATCTTGGCTTACAGAGGAGCTTTGTTGTTTCCCAGACACCAAAACTCACGTGTTTGTAAACTGTACAATGAATCCCACAGATGCCCAATGAGCCCATAGGCCCTGCAGTGAGAAGTACAAAGCTATTTTAAATGCATGAGGATTCAAAGTAAGCACAGGAACCACCAGTGAGCAGAGAACGTGCCTAAACCTGCAAACTCAGACTTGGGTTTTGTGTCTGAAAACCCACTGTCCTCTCATCCACGGCCAGGCCTGTCCCCAGCCTCTGGCCTCTTCAGTTGTCCCAGCACAACTGTTGCAGGATTATTATGCAAGTGGAGTGGATCTAAGGTTTTAACCTTTGAGTTTATTTTTTAACTCAAATCAGTTTGCTGATCTGGCTCATCACAATGCCCCACAGACAACACTACTGACCCAGCCAAGGTAAAAAAAAAAACAGTGCCTGGGGAAAAAAAGGGATGACAGGCCTGCTGTGCTGCTGGGAAAAAGTTTCATGGGATGATGATAGGAGGCAAAAGATATACAACAAAATTTTGTACAGAGGTGTAGAGCTTGCAAGAATGCATGAGCCAAAAATTCCCCACATTAGTAGTAATATAAGTAAGTTCTCTGAGAGAGGTGCTGGGGACATCCCAGGGACATGTCCCTGAGGATGGGTGTCCTGAGCTTGCTCAGCCTGCCCAGAAGGTCTCCCAGTGTCTAGCTCTGCGTCCTTAATCCACAGACATTGTCCAAATCCTGGCATGCCTCTGTGACTGAAGCAGGCACCTCAGGCTCTGTACTTGGCATCTCCCCATCCTCCCATTACTGTCCCAATAGTGCCTTCTGCAGCTGCTTAGGAAAGAATTAGACAAGCCTATACTGCAGTGAAAGGCTTCATCAGCGATGGTAGCAAAAGGTAAGCAAAGGTTTTGTACCATGGCAAATGGCCCTGCTTTACCCCAGGGAAAAAGAAAAGCTTCTTTGCAGAGTGCCAGGACCAGAAACTTTCTCAGACCAATGCACGTTGACATTCATAAAACTACTGCAGTGCTGATCCAGGCCTTGGATCGCAGAAGAGAAATATCCCTTTCATTTAAATGGACTGAAGCTTAGCTTGAAGGAAAAGGGGGGGGGGGGGGGGGGGGGGGGGGGGGGGGGGGGGGGGGGGG